TTGAGCGGGTTAAATGAGAACATGTATGGAGAGCCCTGAGCTCAGTGGCCGTCACTTAGTAAGCTCTCTCTGACCGGTAGCTTTCATAATGGCCTTGGGACCCTGTGACATTCTGGGACAAGAAGATGGTGAAAGAAGCGGGGGATCTGTTTGATCTATGAATGGGGCAATCAATTCTTTCATTCACTGTATGAGGTAGAGGGTCTTAGTCTAGACCCTCCGTCTGCTCTTGAAAAAATCGTGTTCCCAGATCCAATTTGTGACCCAACTTCCATTTCTGGTGAATCTTTTGTCAGGAGCTGTTGCTTCTACCTCACACTGGGCCAATTTAGCTACTGCTTAAATTCCAGAAGCGTAGGTTCCACTTGCTTAGAGGAGGCCCAATGCATTTGCTTAACCATGGGATTAGGGAGGCTGTGAACAAGCTCCCTATCCCTGTCTCATAAATTTAAATTGTCCTCTGGGCACAATCCAGCTCCCACTACCCACAGTGCCTGGGGGTGGGGGGTGGGGCAGGTGGAACAAGTGTGACCAGCCATCTCCCTCTTGTTTCCAAGCAGGTGCGGGAGCTGACTGATGCCGAGTTCCCGCACTCCTTCCTGGTGTCTGGGAAGCAGCGCACCTTGGAGCTGCAAGCCCGGTAGGCAGGCAGGCGCGGGGCAGGGAGGCGGGAAATTGGGAAGGGCTGCTCTCCTCAACATCGGTGTTCACTTTCTGAGCAGGTCCCAAGAGGAAATGATTTCCTGGATGCAGGTATCAGAACGCTCCAGGGCCCCTAGAATTCTGACCCTACCTACCCAGGCTGAGGGGAAGGGAGGGGTGCACATATGTGTGTGGGGGAGAAGTGAGGGGGGGAATCGTGTGTGTGTGTGTGTGTGTGTGTGTGTGTGTGTGTGTGTGAGCACGCGGGCCCAGCTGCTCTCTGCTCTTCCTCAGGAGTTGCTCTGTGGCAGTTTGGAGAGTCAGACCTGAGTTCAAATCCTGCTGTCTCTCGCTGCCTAGCTGATAGTCTGGGACAAATCACTTAATATCCCTGAGCCTCAGTTTTCACATCTGTAATCTGAGGATAATAGTTTCTCTTCCCTTAAGTCAGTCAATGTGTGCTTATAATCCAGCATCAGTAGGCTTTCAGCAATGTTTGTTGAATGTGTGGATGGATGGACAGATGAGCACGCCCTCCCTGCCACCCTTCTAACAACCTCCCTGTGCCCCTCGCCCCTCAGGCCTGCCAAGCAGCCATTGACCAAATCGAGAAGCGGAATGAAACCTTCAAGGCTGCAGTCCAGGGCCCTGAGGGAGATGCTCAGGAGCAGGAGGTAAATGAAGACTGCGTCCTTGGCTGGAGCCGCCAGTCTCACACAGGGCTACTCCCTCTCTGCTCCACCCAGGCCTGCTTGGAGGGCAGAGAGTGTCACCCCCCCACACCCCCCATCCCGGAGTGATTTGAAGGACCTGGGAAGCCCACCCATCCTACCTAGAAGCTCAATATGAAAGGTTCTCCATTAGTAAACCATTCCTGTGGAAGCCTCCACATGCAGCTACCCCTAGGAAGGACTTCAGGTCTATAGAGCTCTGGCTGTGGGGGGCAGTGCGGGTTTGGGCTTGAAAGTGCCTGAGAAACGTAAGACCAAGGGAAGGTGCAGCATCAGGGAGAGTGTGACTGAATTTCAAATTCAGCTCTGTACTCCGGCTTGCTGGGTGTCTCTGCTGAGTCTCTTGACCTCTCTGGGCCTCAGTTTCCTCACCTGTAAAATAGGAATAATAGTAAGTGACCTATCACACCGTCTTCATCAGTTCAGTCAGCTCTACATGGAAGCCACTGGGAAGCACCACACACATAATGCTGCCACCAGCAGATGGGCAGGGGCTCCAAAACCTCAGGGAGTGGGCAGAAGAGGGTCATGAAGTCTCTGCCCTGCTGCCCCAACAGCTGCAGTCCGAGGAGCTGGGCCTCCGGGCACCGCAGTGGGTCCGGGACAAGATGGTGACCATGTGCATGCGCTGCCAGGAGCCCTTCAACGCCCTGACGCGCCGTCGCCACCACTGCCGGGCCTGCGGCTACGTGAGTGCTCCTCCCAGCACCCCTGCCTCCACCAGTCCCACCCTGGCCTGTGCCTTCCATGCTCAGGCCCTGCTCATCCCTCCCCACTAACTCTGCTGGCTTTACCCAGTGCACCCCAGACCGCTAGGTGCGAACTCTGAGCCAGGCATGTGAACTACTTTGTCTGGACCTCACGGGCGTCCACCTGTGAAGCAGGGCCTGCATTATCCCCATTCTACAGATGGGGAGATGAGGCTCAGAGAGGTTAAATGGCTTGCTCAGGATACCCTCCGAAGTGACCCTGTTAATCCGCCTTCTTTCTTACCGCCATTTGTCTGGGCTCCAAACCCAGTATCGGGAAATATTCTTCAGTTCCAGGGTGAAGGGCATCCAACCCCCACAGCTGCTCTCAGGCCTTGCACCCACCACCTCATCGGCCCCATCTGGAGATGAGGCTCAGAGAGGTTAAATGGCTTGCTCAGGATACCCTCCGAAGTGACCCTGTTAATCCGCCTTCTTTCTTACCGCCATTTGTCTGGGCTCCAAACCCAGTATCGGGAAATATTCTTCAGTTCCAGGGTGAAGGGCATCCAAGCCCCACAGCTGCTCTCAGGCCTTGCACCCATCACCTCATCAGCCCCATGCCTGTTAAACCCACCCCTCATTGTCCTCTCTTCTCAGATAACAGTGCCCTCCTCTTCTTGGCAAGTCCTCAGCACTCCAGCGCATGATCAGCTCTATTGCTAATTCTGCTCTTAGTTTCCTCGCTTGTACCATGGGGATTATAATACCTACCTCCAGGATGGTAGTGAGGACTCGACGAGAGAAGGTGCACTCCCTTCCCTCTCCTCCCTTCCTTCCGCCTCCTCAAGAGTTCAGGCGGGGCTCACTCAGAGGAGCCAGTCACCAGCTGCTTGAGGAAGGGACCTGTCTACTCCACTCCTCCCTCTTATCAGCTCAGGCCCAGTGACCAGAGGCAGATCTTGCTTTGCTTTTTGAGCACCTGCTGCACTTGAATTGTTCTCTGCTGACTTTACTACCCTCTCCGTTTACCTTGCAAACAGAGAAGCCCTTTACTGTAGTCCTTAATTACCTCTGGTGGGGATAGGAGACCAGCTGGACAGGTTCGGTCAGGGAAGTAGCCCCAAAATGTGTAAAACTGCAATCAGGACACAAAGTAAATTTCTAGGACTGGGGACACACCTATGTTCAGATGTAAGTGATAAGTTACATCCCAGAGCCAGATAGAAAGGATCTGGGGATAGCTACTGTTCTCGGTAATTCTATCGGTAGATAAGCTTTGAGTCGATTCACATCTGTGACTTTGTAAGTAGTGCCTTAAAAATTATTAAAAATAGTTAAGAAATACAAAAAGCACAAAGAATAATATAATAATACTCATGTACCTCCCTTCTGGGTACACGGAAGAAATAAAACATTCTGACAACGAAATGAAAGGTATGATCTTTCGTTGGATCCTGGATGGGAAAAGCAAAACCAGCTACAAAAATTATTGGAATCATTGGGAGAAATTTAATTATGAGTCATATGTAGATAATATTGTATCAATGTTAAATTTCCTGAGTGTGATCATGACATTGTTGATGGGCAAGAGAGTGTCCTTATTCTTATTTGACATCAGCTACATATTTAAGGGTGAGGTGTCATGACGACTATAATTTATATTCAAATGGTTCAGAAATAAAATACATATATACAGAGTCAGAGAAAGCAAATGTGGCAAAAATGTTAACAATTAGGGGATTGTGTGGTGGTGGGGTATCATTGTATTATTCTTTCAACTTGTCTGCAGGTTTGACATTTTTCAAAATAAAAAGTTGGTGAGGAGAAAATAAATACAGACTAATATTATAAAAAATTAAATCTCAATAGAAAATAAAATACTCCCTTTGAAATTAATTTAAATAAATTTATTTTTAAAAGTTAAAAAAATAAAATACTCCCAAGGTAGTTGAAATCCATGGTGTGAGACTGTGTGAGGTGCTCTTGGCCTGATTTTGAGGTTTCTCCTGCCTGTGCATACTTTTGTACCCTGTGAGTCATCCTTTTGGTGGTTTGGTGCCCAGTTTCTGTCTCCCGCCTGCCAGATGGGAATCCTGGTGGGGCAGGGTGGGGCAGGCCCTGGCCTTCTCCTGTGGGGCCCTCCCTGGTAGCGTGCTGTGTTGGGCACACACAGGAGCTCCCTGATGAATATCCCTTCCTCCTCGTCTCTATCTCTTGATCCTCATTTCCAACCCCACATCCCAGACTCACTGTGACACCCCTGTCTTCCTGGAAGTCACGTCCTACAGTACCCCATTTTCTCTTCGAGTCTTGTCATGCCTCTTGCACCCAGTCTCTTCAGCATGATCTATATTAGCCTTCCTGGAGGCCTCTCCATGGTGGGCTGGGGGTGAGCCCCACTCCACAGGGTACCCAGGGCAGGTCTTCCTGGCAAAAACAACCAGCCCATCATTTCTATATTAGAACATGCTTGACTCTAGGATTGAGTGGAACGCAAAATTTGCATGACTCTTAAAGCTAAACTGCTGGAGGGCCAGTTGTGCACAGTGAGCTGTGGGGCCTAGAGCAGGTCACTGCCCCCTCTAGGTTGCCCTGTGCCCAGCTGTTAGGTGAGGATAAAAGACCCAGTGCTGTTTACCTGGTGGGGCTGCTGCGAGAGTCAGGTGAGATCGCAGAGGGGGCAGAGAGCACTCGGAGAAGTGAATCAGGTGCAAGGGGTGTGTGCAGAGCAAGCCCCTGGGATTCACAGCTGCCTTCACAAAAGGGGACTCTGAAGGGGAGAAAAGTTGGGGCACCTGCAATGGGGGCCAGATCTGACCTCTCTCCCTGTACTGTGGCCTCCAGGCGGCCGGGCTTCTGCCAGCATGGGAAGTACTCTCTGCCTCCATTCCTTCCCTGAATCTTGCTTTTTCTTTCTCCTGTCCTTGGTTACTCTCACGCCCCCCTCAAAGGCCAAGGTACAAACATGATCTTCCCCTGCCTCCCCTCCGTTCCTAAGCCCCTCCTATCTGTCCTCTCCCAGGTGGTGTGTGCCAGGTGCTCTGACTACCGGGCTGAGCTCAAATATGATGACAACAGGCCCAACCGAGTCTGCTTCAACTGCTACACATTCCTCACCGGAAACGTGCTCCCCGAGGACAAGGAGGACAGGAGGCGGGGCATCCTAGAGGTGAGGGCCACCGTTCTTCCATTCAGCAAGTGGGTGCCAGGCACCCACCACATACTGACACTGTCCTAGGTGCTGAGGAAAAGCCAGCTGTGGTCACACCCTCCCTCCTCTCTCTGCCCACAGACACACCCCCATCCTCTTCTTCCCTAACAATTGGGCCCGCCACCAAATCGAAGCATCTCTGGGCTGCAGGCTGTCATCTAGGCTCTCCTACCTCTCCTCTGTGTCTCCATCCAGGAGTCTCACAGCCTCTCTGGACAGTCCCTGTTCACATCCCCACCCCCTGCCCGACAGTCCCAGGGGGTGAAGAGGGCTGATATTACTGATTCCAGTTTACAGATGGGGAATCTGAGGCTCCAGGTCAGGGTCCCACTGTTGGAAAGAAGCAGATTGAAGTCTCCATTCTAACTGGAGGGGACTTCAGGGACCTATCCCATGGAGACCCAGGCCCAGAGAAGTGACTTGCCCAAGGTCACCCTGTGAGTTAGGAGCCAGCTCTCTAACCTTGCCACAGATGTCCTCTCTGCTGCCCTTGGGGCCTTGCTGAGCCACTCTCCACCCACAGGCACTCCTCAGGCTGCTCAAGTAGTGCCGGTCAGCATCGATGGGGCATTGTGTTCAGCTTCCTGCTACAAATGCAATGTAACTCAGCCCAGACATCGGTTACCACTGCCCTCTGCCCTTCCTTCATTAAAGGCCAGGTTGATATCCCACCATCCCTGGGAGGTGGGAGAAGACCCCAGCCTATTGCAGCCGAACACAACTCCCAGGTTTCAAGTTGGTTCTTTTCCATGGACATCTGCCTGGTTTCCAATTCTCCCCATTTTTCTATGTCCAGCCCTTGCTCATGCCCTCCCTGACCATTATGCAACACAACCTGCTTCAGGAGAGAGGGGATGATCGGCCCCTTCTCAGGCTCTAATTCCGTTCCCTGGAAGGAGCCTCCCAGCATCTGCTTTGAGTTCAGGCTGGCTGGGTTTTGGCCGGCCGTGCGACCACAGGCTCATGATAGGACCTTTCTGAGCCTCAGGGATAAATAACCTCTTCTTGCAGGGTTGCTGCAAGGACTAGAAATAGTGATTGTCAAGCCCGCAGACCAATGTCTGTCACACAGTGGGTGTTCTGTTCCCTGACAGTCCTTTTCTCTGGTTTTAGAAAGGCTCCACCATGGGTTCTGAGCAGAGCCTAATGTGCAGCTTCCTACAGCTCATCGGCGACAAGTGGGGTAAGAGCAGCACCCGGGGCTGGTGTGTGATCCCCCGGGATGATCCCCTCGTGCTGTACATCTATGCTGCCCCTCAGGTAATGCCACCACCTGTCCCCTCCCCGCCCCCAGGCCTTGGCCTTCTTACAGTATGTGGGAGAGGGGGAGTATTGTTGGCCTCATATGTTAGACGAGGAAACTGAGGCCTAATGAGGACATGGTTCCCTCCAGTCACAGGGTTAGTGGCTTTCAAAGATGGTCCCAGACCCCAGGTCATAATCTCTTTGCCCATAAGGGGCAACCAGTTCTCTTTCTGGATGCCCTCCCATCAGCCTGCCCTGCCTCGTGGGTGTGTGGGGAGTAAGAGGTGACCTTCAAATGACTGGGGTGGTGGGGCTGAATGGGAGGACAGCTAGTCACCACTCTCTCTTCTCTCCCAGGATATTCGGGCTCACACCTCCATCCCCCTGCTGGGCTACCAGGTGTCAGCTGGACCCCAGGGGGACCCCCGGGTCTTCCAGCTGCAACAGTCAGGCCAGCTCTACACCTTCAAGGCTGAAACCGAGGAGCTGAGGGGCCGCTGGATGAAAGCCATGGAGCGGGCGGCCAGCGGCTGGAGCCCTGGGGAACCCAGTGATGGGGATCTGTCTGACTGAGCCACAGCTGGCCACTCCCCCCTCAAAGCCTGGTTCCTGCCACAGTCTACCCCTGCGTCCTCTGTGAACCACCACTCCAAGCTGAGGTTTAAATAATCGATTTCTAGTCATCTTGTGCCCAGACTGTGTGTCCCGATTTGGCATTCAGAAAACACATGCCTGTTTCTTTGGGACCAAGCTCTTGGTTTGCTCAGGGGAATCCTGGGACATGGGACTTTCAGTAGTAAAACTAGGGAAGTCCCAGGTCACCAGGACTGTTGGTCACCAGGGTGGTTCTCAGCTTGAGCTGCTCAGTAGTGTCACCTGGAATCTTTAAAAAATACCCATGAAAAATAAAATAAAAAATAAAAAAACAGTGCCTCTAGCCATCATCGAAGATTTCTGATTTAATTGGTCTGGGTTGGGGAGGCATGGTTATGTTTCAGGAATACCCACATGAATCTAATGTGCAGCCTGGATTACTCGGATGAAGAAGAAAAAGCAAATGACTATTGATTGAGCACCTATCAAGTGCAAGGCATGGTAATAATAATCATGATGATGATGATGATGATGATGATGATGATGATAAATAATAATAAACATCTACTGGGCCGGGCACTGAGTGATATGTGTTTTACATGGGTTACTTCATTTTACCCTCAGGAGTTATAATCCCCATTTTCCAGATGGGGACATCGGGCCTCAGAATGGCTTAGTCATTGGCTCAAGGTCACACAGCTGGCGGATGGCAGAGCTGGGTTTTAACCTGGTGCACTAAGGTCAGAGCTCTTTCTGTCAGGTAGCAGAGCAATAAGGCAAGCAAGAAGGGGAGTCTGGAAGGAGAAGAAAAGGAGGGAAAAAGAAGAAAAGCTGGGCGAGACCAGGAGGGAAGAGGTGGTAGCAGGAGGGAGGGCAGGAGCACCTCCCTGACTCCCTGGCTGGTGAGCGAGGCTGCTTTTTCATAAGAAACCACCAGGAGGTGGCAGTGGTCAGCAGGCCATATGCAGTGGCCCCAGCCTGGGCTGACACCCTAAGCCCCTTCTGTCAGATCCAGACACATCAAGGCTCTGCCCTTGAAGAAGGCAAAACAGACAAGTCATAGACCTTTGTCCCCTTCTAGGCCTAGCAGTTCACCTGCCCCTGACCTGAGGCTACCTGCCACCTATAGAGTGTTTAAAAAGCCCAAGAAAGCTTCATTGGCACAGTCTCTGGGGACCAGGCTGGCCATGAGTTCATCCTTTTATTCAACAAATGTATTGAGCATCTCCTATGAACCAAATGCAGTTCCTGTGCTGGGATACAGCAATCAACAAGACAAACAAAATTTTTTGCCTTCATAGAGATTATATTCTAGTGTGTGTGGGGGCGGGGCAGGCGGGATAATCAACAAAATAAGTATGTAAAACATAGAACCTATGAGATTTGATAAGTGCTTAACTATGGTGACAAACCATCTCAGGACTTTCCTAGTTTTAAAACTTAAAGTTTCAAGTCCCAAGAAACCCTGCAGTTCAGACAAACCAGGATGGTTGATCGCCCTGGTGGAAGAAGAAAAAGCAAGAAAAGAAATGAGGGAGAACGGTGTGCGTGCGTGCGTGCGTGTGTGTGTGTTTTAAAGGAAAATCAAGGAAGGCCTCACTGAAAAGTCGATGTTTGAAAAACAACCTTGAGGAAAGAAATAAGGGAAGGAGCTATGCAGACATCTGGGGAAGAGCATTCCAGGTGGAGAGAACATCCAGTGCAAAGGTCCTGGGGTGGGAGCCTGCCTGGTGCATGCAAGGAACAGTAAGGAGGTAAGTGTGACTGAAGCAGAGCTGGCAGGAAGGAAGTCATAGCAGAAGACATTAAACCATCCCTAAAACTAAGGGTGGAGCGAGGGGAGGCAGATACGAGGCCCTCCGAGGGCTGAGTGAGAGGGGAGTCATTGGAGGGATCTGATTTGGTTTAACAACCCCCTCTGCTTGTTGCAATAGACTAAAAGGAATGAGGGTGGAAGCAGTTCAGAGGCTGTTGCAACAATCCAGGTGAGAGGTGACGGCTTACATCAAGGTTGGAGCAGTGAAGGTGGTGGGAAGGGATGGGATTCTGGATTTATTCTGAAGGAAGAGTGGAAGAGAGTCTCTTATAGAGTGAATGGGATGGGAGAGAAGGAGGAGCTAGTGGTGCCTCTAACCTGAGAGCATGGAGGACGGATCTGCCGCTAAGATGAGAAGACAGTGGAAGGGCCGGCTGGGGAACAGCAATACATCAGGAGCTCTGACGTGGACAGGTTGCAGCTGAGTGCCCTTTCCAGTAGTTGGGCATCTGAGCTCAGGTGCCAGGTCTGGGCTGGGATGTAGACATGGGAGCTGTCATCCCAGAGATAGGGTTTAAAGTGTGCGTGAGACAGGAGAAGGAAGAGGTCCGAGGACTGAACCCTGTGCACTCCAACATTTTAATCGGGCACGCATCAAAATTCTAAACGTGTGCACCCCGCACGTATACCAATATTCTACCTGCACATACACCAATATTCTAACCCTTTCACCTGCAGTTACAATTCTGAGAATTTACCCCAAGGAGACAGACTGGCCAGTGTGACAAGACTTGAGCACATTGTTTAAAATAGTCCCCCAAGTTGGAAACTACATAAATAACCATGCAAAGGAGACTCATTAAATGAACTCACGCCTATTGAGAGGGAATCCTAGGAAGCTCAGCTGCATCCATGCAACAGAGAACAGTGCGGCTGTTTGACGAGAAGGCTTAGATCTTAATGTGCTGATGTGGGAAGATGCCCGTGAGGGGTTAAGTGAGTAGTAACTACAGAAAGAGCTAACATTTTTAAACACTCACTGTGTGTCAAGCCTTATACTAAGGCCTTAGTGGGGATTATTTCATTTAATTCTGAATAACATTAGAAGTAGATACCATACTCAGATCCTCATTTTACAGATGAGAAAACCGAGGCATCCCTTGTTAAGTAATGTGCTTGTGGTCACGTAAAGGGGCGGGGAGAGGCAGCATTCTGAACTACTGTGCTGTGGAACATTCTGGTCCTGCTTGGATGAAGACATTTTATATCTACACCATCTAAAGGGGTATGTGACACCCTTCAGAAGTGGCTGCTTTGCTTTCTTCTTTAGATGCTTCTGTGTTTTTTGTATATATTTTTTCAATATCATGCATTATTTCTATAATCACAAGAACAAAAGTGCCTTTCCTGTGTCAGGGCGAAAATAAGACTCATGTGCCCTGCCCAAGAGGCCTGAAGTGCCACCATGTGGGGTCACTAAAGCATCAGTGCCAGAGCCCAGAGGCTCTGTGCCCCAGGAACCACCGGAAAGCACCCAGCAGGCATGGGGGTGATTATTATTCCACAAATGAGTGTGGAGACATGGAAATGAGAAGTGACAAGGGTTAGAGCAGAGCCTGGACCTGGCAGTACCCAGGGTCCCACTGAGAGCAAGAGAGTGCTATCCTCGAGGCTCTTCCCTGGGAGCTCGAAGGGGCCTGTGTGACCTGGGGGAGCCCCCGACTGTCCCAGGCAGTACCTTACCCCAGATTTGCTCGTGGAGCCACAGACCATACCCAGGGTGCGCCAGGCCCCGGGTACATGGGTGCATGCCCCGAGCATGTGGAAGGGGACGCCCTACCTTCAGAGATCCAGTTCTTAAGGGGAAACGGCAACATCTATGGGTCAGGGGTGGAAGTGGGGGGGAGGAGAGGGAATTAAAGAGGGGAAAATAAATAAATAAAAATAAAAATCTGGAAGCTCCCCCAGCAGTCTGGTGGCAGTCTGGTGGCTCTGTCTGTGGGGAGCAGGAAAGGCTGATAGATACCAGGGTTGGGGCATCTCTGGGGGGCCTGGCAGACCCTGAGTCAGCGGGAAGACCTTGCCTCTTCCTGCCTTCCCTCCTGGGGAATAAACCATGCTCCTACATCCCTGGGGACTGGTGGGGCTCAACTGAATGAATATGTGTCCTGAATGAATGAATATGCATCCAGTACTCAGAACAGAGGTGGTTATTACAGGTGTTTGTAGTTCTCAGCTCTTTCACACTGTGTCGTCTGCCTTCATGAGCTGCAATGCACATATTTATGGGATTTCTAGGGATACACAGTTGAATAAATTATAGTCCCTGCTCCTAGGGAGCTCAGCATCTATGTCATTAGAAATACCTGGGGAACTTTTGAAAATCTCCCAATGCCCAGGCTGTACCCCAAGCCTATTAAATCAGAACACCTGATTTAGGCCGGGGCTGTGGCATGGGCATTTTAAAGATCACCAGTGATTCTGATGGCCAGCCCTTCATTAAGGGCAGAATCAATTCTAGAGCCTGGAAGCCCTGACTCTGGTCTTCAAGGGTTCCCAGGGCTGGGGGCAGGGGAGCTTAGTCTGAGTGGGGTATGGGAAGTGGCCTTACCATGGCACTAAATTAGGTTAATTGAAGGATAATTTACATACAGTAAAATTTACCCTTTATAGTATAATACTATGAATTTTAGCAAAAGTACTATGAGTCATGTAAACACCACCACAATAAAGATATAGAGGAGCTCTATCTCCCCCAGAAGCTTCTCTGTGCTGCCCCTTTGGTTGTCACTCCCTTCCCTCACTCCCTAGCCCCTGACAACCACTGATCTGTTCTCTTACCTTAGTTTTATCTTTTCCAGGATTTCATATATATGGATTTCATATAGCATGTAGCCTTTTGAGTCTGGCTTTTTTTTTACTCAGCTGTGGGACTCATCAATGTGTTGTATGGATCAGTAGTTTGTTCTTTTCATTGCTGAGTAGTATTCCCTTGTATGGATATACCACAGTTTGTTTACCTATTTACCAGCTGAAGGACCTTTGGCTTATTTCCAGTTTGGGGTAGTTATGAATAATGCTGAACATTATGTTCATTATGAACTGAACATTATGTTCATGAACTGAACATTCATGTTCAAGTTTTGGTGTGAGTATATATTTTCATTTATCTTGGGTAAATATCTAGAGTTAGACCACTGGGATGGATGATAAACATGTGATAAACTTTCTCAAAAACTGGCAAGCTGTCTTCCAGCGTGGCTATACCATTTTTCATTCCTGTCAACAATGATGAGCGTTCCCATTGCTTGCATCCTTGCCAGCATTTGGCAGGGTCAGGATTTTTTTGTTTTGTTTTGTTTGTTTTTAATTTTAGCCATTCTGGTACGTGTGTAGTGCTTACAACCTTTTAAAAGTTTATGAATGTATCAAAAACATCACATTGTACACCTTTAATCTATTGTACAACTTTAATCTAAAAGTTTTGTTTGTCAATGATACCTCAATAAAGCTGGGGAAAAGTTTATGAATGTAAAGGAATAAGGATATTTAATAGTAAATATTTTGCAAACACATAATCATGTACGCACTTATTATGTTCTAAGCAGTATCCTAATCCTTCCAAAGTCCCAGGGGTGGCTGGTATGACAGGGAAATCACCCATGATGGTCCAAAAGGCTCCAATCCCAGAAAGGCTCCAATCTGCTGTGGGCTTGCTGTGGGACT